GTAGCCCAGGCTGGCCTCGAACTCACAGAGATCCGCCTGGCTCTGCCTCCCGAGTGCTGGGATTAAAGGCGTGCGCCACCAACGCCCGGCCAATTTCTTCGTCTTTTATTAGCATTTATGTCTTGGTCTTTTGGGCCACAAAAAACACATGGAGATTTTCCTGTGTGAGGCAGATGTCCTTGCAGAGATTAGTAAGGCAAGATCAGCAGTCCACTGGGCACCCTGACACACACTCCTGATTAATGTCACATTTCAGATACAATTACACAATGCAATGTCATTTTTCAACAGATCCTCGGTGTCAACTAAGTAAGTATTACTGTATATAAGGTGCCATGCAGGAAAAGGAACACTGATAAATAAGCCAGATGTTTCCAAGGTGCTCTGAGAAGTTGGGTGTGGTGGTAGATACCTGGGAAGCTGAGGCAGGAGGATCAGCAGTTCGGGGCTAAAATGGACTATATAGGAGGATGGAGGAAGGAGTGTGATGGTTTGAAAGAAAATGGCGCCCAAAGGAAGTGGCACTATTAGGAGGTGTGGCCTTGAAGTAGGTGTGGCCTTGTTGGAGGAAGAGTGTCACTGTGGGGGTGGGCTTTGAGGTCTCCTTTACTCAAGCTACTCCAAGTGTTCAGTCTACTTCCTGTTGCCTGCCTATCAACATGTAGCAGCACCAAGTCTGCCTGCCTGCATGATAATGGACTAAACCTCTGAACTATAAACTAGTCACAATTAAATGATTTCCTTTATAAGAGTTGCTGTGGTCATGGTGTCTCTTCACAGCAACAGAAACCCTAACTAAGATGGGGGAAAGCATAAAACAATGTCCAATAATGGAAGGCAGATTGTATTAATAGAGAGGGAGGACAGTACCATGGAGGACTCACAGGAAAGGTGACCTCCGGCATCTGAACATCTTAGGCTGAAGGGGGTCTGATATAGAGCACTGGCAGAAAAGAACAGAGTGTTAGGTAAACTTGGCAATTATGTCACCGCTGAACCATTAGAAACAGACGGAGCTGGAGAACTGTCTGGACCTATCTGATAGAACCAGACTAAGAGCTGAAATCACGTTAGTGTTAGGGTCCACAGAACACCCTACAAAACAAAGACCACCACTCACATATGCAATCAACAAGAGCATTGTTTATTCCAGCATGCAGGGGTCTGTCAGCCAGACAACAAAATGGCAGTGACCCCAAATGGAGCTTGCAGACTCCTTTTACAGGCAGCCAGGAGGGGATGAGGTCATGCTGAACATGACTGGTTGAGGCTCCTCTTCCTGCTTTAACAGGGTGCAGAAACGGATACTGAAGCTACATTAAAACCCAGGCCTAGTGGAGGCGAGGTCCAGGAGAAGCCTAGCCATGGTGCTACTGTGGCCCCTCAGCACCCATCTTTGAAAAACACATTTGTAAATTACTGTGTTAGTTTGCCTGGACTGCTGTACAAAAGGTACACAAACTGAAAGGTTCTCAAGAGAAGACTTATTGTCTCTCAGCTCTGATGGCCCTGGAGTCATGGTGCTGGCAGGGCTGGTTCCTTCTGAGGGCTGTGGGAGCAGCTTGTGGTGGTTCTCAAGCCATCCTCTGCAGCTGTGGCTGAGCAGTGCTGTGCTGCTCCAAGTGCTGCCTCATGCGCAGATGCCGTTTCCTGTGTGCACATCTGTTTATGAGAACACAAGCCATTTGGGTTAAGGCCCACTAACACGACCTTATTTTATTTACGTGCAGACATCTCCAAATGAGGTCACCTCCTGAGCTACAGTCCTCCTGTGGCTTACGGTCTCTCTGCAGTCCATGTGTAGGCCAGGATCCTCTCTTGAACGGATGAACCTGATGATGGAAAGCAGCTCCTGTGTGCATACCATGCACCAGTCTACAGAGCATCTTCTCACACCTCATCTCCCAATCTTCAAAATAATTCTCAGAGGTGGTTAGGCATACATCCCATTACCAGCATGTAGGCAAGCCTGCAGAGTCACAGAGGTTCAGTGAGATACGTAAGAATCCCACCAGAGGGCAAATGGCAATAAAATCCAGTATTCTAATTACAGCTCGGCATGATTTACCAAACTCAGCAATCACTTTGTTTTTCATATCAAAAAAACTTGTATCAACTGCAGCTAGCTTCTGAAGGCACACTAACTGAACATTGCCATAGTGATGGGGGAGGTGACCTGTGAATTCAGGGTAGAGTCATGATGGGAACTGTGAATCATTATTCTCCCAGTTCAAGGCCAACTTTCTATCTATGAAGATACTTTCCACATCTTCTGTGGGGACGCTCATTTAGCAGCCTATCATTTCTTTTTTAAAATGTTACTAGCCAATAATATTACCCCTTATAAGAAAATCCATACACCAGGCCCCATAGCACCCACTCAATGGCTACCATTCTCCCATTACCCACTGTTACAGAACAGGGACTGCACCTTAGAGGAGGTGTTTCAATGGGCTGGGATTTAAGACCCACCAGGTCCTCTGACTCCATGGTACTTTGGGATTGTTTTGGGAGGGAAGATTCATATACAATCATCTGATAATGGAATAGTCAGGATATATAAGACAAATGAGTAATAAAAATGCAAGTAACCTGATTATGAAAACGAGCAGAATCCTAAGTAGATGCTTTTTAAGGGAAGACACTGAAATGACTCCCAGGTGCACAGAATGATGCTCACAGTTGGAATCAGAGAAAAGGAAATTAAGACAAGGAGGTGCTGTCTCACACCTGTTGAGTGATTATCAAAGAGGAAAACGCAAGCATTTGATGGAAAAGGGAACTTTGTGTACTACTGATGGCAATGTGAACTGATTTTTATTATATTATCATTGTTGTTGTGGTGGTGGTGGTGGTATTGCTGCTAGTACTGGAGCCCAGGACCTCATGTATGATAGCCAATGCTCTCCCACCAAACTACAGCTACCGCCTACCATGCTCATTACTGAAAACAACACAGAGGCTCTTCAAAACTCCAGTGTAGAGCTGGCATCTATCAACAGGAACTGGGAGTTAGAACACAGGATTCCTATGTTCACTGTAGCAGCATTCACAATGGTTAAAAGGAAAAACAATCTAAATGTCCTTTAATAGATAAGTCAATAAAGAAAAAAGATTTGTGTATATTCTTCAGTCATTAAAAAAAGGTAACTCTAGGGGGCTCGAGATGATGGCTCAGTGTGAATGCATACTGCTCTTGCAATTATGTGAGGGCAACTGCTAGAAATCCAAAGCAGGGATCACAATTCAATGATGTACTGAGCTGTAGTCTGCTAAGACATGAAATGTTAAGTCCTCTGACCACATTTACACACACACACAAAACAATAACTGTGGTGATGATGATGTCTTGGTTGTCAACTTAATTGGATCTAGAATCAACTAAGTGATGTGTTTCTAGGCAGTTCTTAATTGTACATCCTAGAAAGATTCATTCACGGGGAGAATCTTTCCAGAGTGGGCTCCAGCCTCCAGCAGTGGACCGGGTAGAGAGGTCAGAGGGAAAACGGTTGCCTTTTGCCTGTCCTCCTCACCCTTGCTGGGAAGTAGATTGCTGGCATGTACCCTATTGCCACCAATGGCGCTGCAATGACCCTCCATTGACGTTGGAACCCAGATTCTTTGGCTTCCAAAGTGCACTGAAGACCAACCTCTCTCCAGAAATTCTCCAGGCCCTCAGAAATGGAATAGGACTGCTGAGGCATTTGGCCTCATGGACTGAGCAGCTAGCACAGGGTTCTCAGTTTCTCCAGTGTGCAGACACCCACTGTTGGGCTACTCGGGCTGTACTGCACTAGCCAATCTAACTAGTAAATCCCCTTTGTGTTATGTATTCATTCTATAGCGGCTTCTCCTCTAGAGAATCCTGATAGATACAGTAACTATGCAGAGGTAATGGATTACCTTGATCATAGTAACCATTTTACAATGTGTACATCTACCAAGATACCAAGCTGTCTACCTCAAATATATACATTCAGAAGTTTCTAAGAAAAAGCAGAGACTTAAAGTTCTGTTAGCTCCTGTTCTTTAAAGGATCCTCATGCAATCATGATGGATACCTAGCAGTTAACTTGACCCACCATTACCTACTATCCTAGACAACAAACTAAATGAAAGCAAGCCAATTTTAAAAGAGAATGCTTAGCAACTTTGCCAAGTCACACACTGCCAAATGGAAAACCCAGAGCCGGGTGCGGTGAACACACCCTTTAATCCCGGCACTTGGGAAGCAGAGGCAACAGATCTAAGTTCAAGTCCAGCCAGAGCTGCCCAGTGAAACCTTCTCTCTAAAACGTAACAATAAAACCCAAGATTCTAACTAACTATGGTGGTATGAATGAGAAGAGCCCCCACAGGCTGTTATATTTGAATGTTTTTTTCCCAGTTGGTGGACTGTTTAGGAAGGATTAGGAGGTGTGGCCTTCCTGGAGTTTTATCACTAGGGGTGGGCTTTGAGATTTCAAAATCCCACATCAGGCTCAGTTTCTCTCAGTTTTTGGCTCTCTGGCACATGTTTATGGACCAGATGCACACTCTAAGTTGCTGTTCCAGTGCCAGGCCTGCCTGCCTGCCACCATGGTCCCTGCCATGATGATTATGAACTAAGTCTCTGAAACACCTAATTAAATATGTTCTTCCGTAAGCTGTTTGGTCATGATGTCTCTTCACAGCAATGCAACACTAAGTAAGACACTAACCCAACAGTTTCACAAGACCCTATTCTTGGCATAAGCTTGCTAAGGACACCCTCAGTCACTTCCATACATTTGTATTTACTTCAACTCACTTATTTACCAAATCAGACATTGTTAGGTGGTGGGAACATAAAGATGTTTATGCCTCAATAACATACTAATGAGAAAGGCAAGAATACAAAAGTAATTAAATGTGGTAATTTGGTAAGACGCAGTATGGGGGCTCCTAGGACACAAAGAGGGGAGTCTCCAAAAGCCTGAGAGAGAGAACAGACCTAGTTTGCTTGAGCCAATGGCCTCAGGGCTGTGAATCCTCTCTCTTCTGATCCTAGCTACCCCGCTTAGTGCTTCACATGGGGCTGGGAGGAGAGGTAGGGTCTGTGTGGTTGGGGAGAGGTACTTCATCTCTGAGGACTAACTTCCCCTTCTTGGTCAGAAGGGATGACACAAAAGTGTGCTGGTATGAAGAAATGGGAGTGTCAAGTTACCTAACAAAACCTGGCATTATTCATAGCACTGGCTTTAGGGTCAGCAGACCTAGAATTTCCACAGGCGTTAAATCACAGTGCTCTAACTGAACATGCGATAAGAAAATTCTAGGAAAGAAAAACTAGATGTTGGAGCATATACATGTAACAGCTGAGGCAGAGAATTGCGAGTTTAAGGTGAACCATGTCTACACAAGCAGACCTTGTTTAAAAAACAAAAGCAGAACAAGAGAGTAAAGCTTTGCGTAGAAACCAAGAACCACAGCCACTCACCTCCCTTTCACGGTCCCAGAAAACACGGGGATGCATAAACCCTAACTTAAGATTCCGGAGTGGTGTCCTGCTAATCTTGGCCTGTACTCTGAGGTCTGTCTGGGTATTTACTTCTACAGTGTTGTTTACACAGAACTATCATGCAATCCAACCACCCGCTCTCAGGAAAGCTGGTCCTTTGCATGTGCTAACTCCGACTTGGTTTACAAGTGGTGCTAAGAAACACCCACTTGTTTCATTGTCCATTATGAAGTTATTTGTTGATAACATGCCCCTCCCCCAACAAAATACTACTGAGATAATAACTATTGACAAAGCCTAACTTGCCCAATTTTATTGCACATGGTTTAAGACTGGAAGGGCTATAGGCCAATGGGGAAAAATGTGTGGTTTGTCACCTAAACACTAGTAAGCCTTCCTGGAATCCAAATACCAGCCACCTCAACAATAATTGCACAAGAGCCAAGATCATTCTGAAGAAGCATTTATTAGCACAATACGCTACAGAGCCCAGCTAATGTTCCTGGAACACGTCATTGGCCTCAGGTCAAGCAGTCCCACTGGGGCTTACTTTGTACCTGTGGGACATTATTTTACTGGTAGAGATTCTATTGTGATGTTCTCATTGCCAAGAGAAAAGGAGAGGGCACATCCGAGTTGCAAAGCATATCCTAGATCACCGGGCCCCTGTAGGCTAAGCCACGGCCTCTATCACTCTGACCAAAATCAGTCCTCCAGAGTCACAGGTCCCTCACCTGGCCCCACTCGCCCTGTTTAAAACCAACAGAGGAAGGAGAAGCCCTTTCCTGAGCCTCTCTTCACCTCCTCAACAGATCTCAAATACTTTTCTTCCCGGTGGTAAACGGGACATGGATCAGTTAGGATCTCACAGCACATGCGCTTACTATGCAGCACACAGCAGTCAAAGGCAGGCCAGCACAAAGAGGAACCATTCCACAGCTATGTTCTCCCCTGCACAAACACCTTTTTCTGTTTAAAAAACAAAAACATTCTTTTCTCAGCTTTCCGGCTAAAATCAAGTGTAAGAATTATCCTTTAAAAATGTACATGTAGGGGGTGGGAGGAGATAGGATCTGTGGGTGGTATGTAGAGTGAATAGAAAATTTCTTAATAAAGAAAAATGGAAAAAAAAAAAGAAGAAGAAGAAGAAGCCAGGCAGTGGTGGCACACGCCTTTAATCCCAGCACTTGGGAGGCAGAGGTAGGCGGAGCTCTGTGAGTTCGAGGTCAGCCTGGTCTACAAAGCAAGTTCCAGGAAAGGCACAAAAAGCTACACAGAGAAACCCTGTCTCGAAAAACCAAAAAAAATAAATAAATAAATAAAATAATAAATATATAAAAAAATTGGGAACAAGACAAAAAAAGTACATGTAATATTACAAAAAAGAAAAATATAGGTATAGACATTTACAAACCGCAAAGGCAGTGAGATCATTTCCCTTACTGTAACTGAGAGTAAAATGAAATATAAAAAAATATAAAAATGGGCGGTGGCTAGAGAGATGGCTCAGCTCTTCCAGAGGACCTAGGTTCAATTCCCAGTATCCACGTGGCAGCTAGAAACTGTCTTTAACTCCAGTTCCAGGGAATCTGACACCCTCACACAGATATACATGCAGGCAAGACAACAATGCACATAAAATAAAAATAAAGAAAAATAAAGAAAGAAAGGACTGGGAAAATGGCTAAGACGTGAGTTGAGCACTGCACCCACATAAGGAGCGGTACACAGGGTGACAAGATGATTCATTCAGTGGGTAGGGTCACTTGTCACCCTCACGACCACAGTTCAATCCCTGAGACCGACGTGATGGAAGGAGAGAACCAACTCCTGCAACTTATTCTCCACCATACTCATGCCAAGTCATCTGCACATGTGCACACACATAAACACACGCACACACACAAATGAATAAATTAATTAATTAAAAAATAAAAATCTGAGCAGGGTAGCCCACAACTACAATCCCAGAGCTAAGAAGAGTCCCTGGGACACGCCAGCCAATCAGCCTACTAGATGAGCCCCTGTCTCAAAGCCAGGCTCCTGAGGAATGATGCTGCTGACTTCTATCCTCAACGTGCACATACACACACTTAAAATAATTTAAACAACCCTCTTAAAATATCAAACCAACATATTCAATATCCATTGAGCCATAAAACAACTTACAATCTAGGTGCAAACATCTGGATTTACAATACTATATTTTTTCACAGACTTCTTCATCCGCTTTATTTTCTTCTTCAAGGTTTCATGACCTTGTTTTAAAATATACCGAAAATATCTACAATCTAAAAAATAAAACAAAATAAAAGTTTTAATATTTATCAATTAAGTATATTTCTACATACTGTACATACTACATACTATACTATACTTTTAAATTTTGCATCAGTCCTAGAACACTAATGATTTATTTGTGTCACAATGTAAAAAGTAACTATTTGAGAACCAAGTTCTCCCACTAAACAAACACTTTTTCTGTTTAAGAAACAAAAACACTCCTTTCTCAGCTTTCTGGCTAAAATCATCCTTTAAAATGCACACGTAAAAGCTTCACCAATGAAAGTGAGCACTGGCTGCGAAGGCATAGCTCACCCACAAACACTTCACCTCCTTCTCCACTGTTCCCATGTTACATACACCCACATATTAAGGAGCCTTCCAAAAGCTAATTTACCCGAGCCCAGCTGCCCGCTCAATGCCAGCTTGTAAATCAGCTACAGTGGCGTCTCTCACAGTAAGAAAGTTTTCCGTAGAAAGCGGGAATGGGGAAGATTAGAATAAATACATTACAGATTAGAAACGATCAAACACGGTTCCTTCTGGTCTTCTAGCAAGCAGTGGACAGACAGATATCACATTCTGACCAAGGTGCCTAGTGCTCCTGAGAGTCTACCTGCCCTTCAGTCTCACAAGGCAAAGATGAATGACACTTGTCAAGTGTTTCAGAGAAGTCAATTTCGAAAAGAAAAATGTAAGCTTGCTATGATGAGACTTCTGTCCACCCATCCGTCCATGAGTGCATGCAGTACGAGGGACTGAACCTAAGGTCTTGCACATGCTAGGCAAACGTTCTCTCACTGAGCATCCTAACCCCACCATCTTTTACTTTGATTTTAAGCATTTTGTTTATGTATGCTTGTGTGCGCATCCACACACCACCTATTTTTGGTGCCTGCAGAGGCAGAAGAGAGCGCTGGAGTTCAGGCAGTCGTCCACCACCCAGGATGGGTGCTGAGAACTGAACTTGGATCCTCTGTGAGAACAGCAAGCACTGGTAACCACTGGGCCATCTCTTCAGTCCCTGCTAGAGGCCTCTTTTTTCACTTTTTATTTTAAGAAAGGGTCCCACTGAGTTACCAATCCAGGCTGGCCTTGAAGTTACTGTGTAACCCAGGCAGGCTTTAAACTTGCAATTCTCCTATCTCAACCTCCCAAGTAACTGGGATTACTGGCCTGTACCACCAGGCCTACCTGTAATTATTTATATTAAACAAAGCAATCACAAATCATATGAAAAATTAATTTTATTATATCCTCAGCTGACGTTCATCTGTCTTTCCTAAGAAAAGGCTAGGTTATCTACCATAACTACAATACCCATCTACCATCCCTGAGGACACATGCTAGTGATGAGGGCTATGGGGCCTGTAGTGCTACTAAAATAATTTGTGGTGTTTCTTTTGAGACAGATCTAGCTGTGTTGTCCAGGCTTGCATTAATTCCTAGGTTCAAATGATCCTTTGTATTCAGAAATATACCATCCTACTTTACAGAAGAAGTTAAAGGCAGTGAGATTTCTGCTTTTACCTATATAGAAAACTGGATTTCACCCTATCCCAACACTAACAACTGTATAAACTTGGTGAGAGCGTAAGTAGGAAAGGAACGGGGCTGCTAACTGTGAGGAAAGCTCCCTCCAAAGAGAACAGGGCCTGCCTTGAGTTCCACACAGCATGGGACGAAGGACAGCTGTCCCCCTACTCGAAGACAAAGCAGAAGCTGACCAGGGTGGAATATGGGGATGTAATGATGAGGGCCAGAGCAAGAAGCAAACTCAGCTCAGTGTCAGAACCAAGCCCAAGGGAAGGAAGGTGCCCGTTCTCGAGGAGCCATGCCTCATGCTTCTAGAATCCTTGAGAACTCAGAGCCCTCCAGGAGGTGTTCACTTGGTATTTACAATCCTGTTAGCAAATAAGGAAAAGAGCCATGTGTACAATGTGCACTTCACACAGAAGGCCACCAAAGGTCACGACTTGACCTAAGTGACAAGTAAGAGGACTAGAAACGGTCCTGGGCCTTCAGTGCCCTGAGCCGTCTGTACTGCACTCAGTGTTCAGAAAGCGAAGCACAGTGGGCATTATTAGAAATGGCATTTTTCAGCTCTGTTCTCATTAATCCCTTTTCTCATAAAATCAACCTTTTCCTACTCTTAGTAACTCTAAGAAACATACCAATTCTCGTTCCACAAGAGATGCACGTGGGGGTGAGCCTCAGGATCTCACTGCACGGTATACAAAGACAAACAAAGGCAAACCCCGGGAGCTGCTGGCACAGGGCTCCCCAGCGATCACTGCAGGGCTCCTTTCTTATTTTACTGTGCTCCACCACCCATGCCAGGGGTGCAAAGCAGGCGAGCATTTTACTGGCCAGAATATCCCATAATGAAAGACCAGTTTCCTCTTTTTAGAAGACTCGCTATTAATAGGTGGTATTGCATTCTTTACAGGACAGGAGAGTGAATATAACATGAAGCTAATGAAGAACACTGAGGTCAATGAAGAGCATCCTTGTGCTTTCTGAGATGCCCACAAGCTCAGTAAACCTACACAGCAAGGCCCAACAGAGTCTGCACAGTGTATTTTAAGCCCCGAACTCAAGTCAGGGCGTGGACGCCAAGCGCACAGTTCACAGGATCCCTCCTAAGCTCTTATCACAATCCTGCTCAGGGCTCACACTCTCATCCCAGTCCTTTCTCAAGCATCTAAAACCCCCTAAGCATCATACTGGACAAGATGAACAACTGGGCCCTCTTTCTAGCTTCTGCTACATCCAAATAAACAGAGAAGAAAACCACGGACCTTTTCCTAAAAGGATTCCCGCTACAAACGCTTTCTCACAAGCCAAGCCAGTGTCTGCCTTCCAGTCGCTCTTTGCCCAGAAGAAGCTGAAGTGAAAGGCCGGCCACCAGCTTCTCCTAGATTTCCACTCTTCTTCCACCCACGCCGGACGGCTTCTGGAAGGAAACGCGTGAAAAGGACAAGTCAGTTCATGGAAAGCTGTCATGAGAAGTGAACGTGAGCAGTCTCTAAGACGACAGCGGAGAAGTTCCCGGACTAACTCCTGAGCATGGCCATGACGGGAGCAGGGGGCAAGCCCATGCTCACTCTGTTCTGTCTCAGCAGAGTGCTCAACAGCATGGACACTGGGTTCAAATCCTGCAACTCTCAGATCCTCCATCTCCAATCACATGCTCCTGAGCAAGCCGCAAACCTTTCTGAGCCTCAATTTCTTCCATGGTGGAAATGGCTATTTTCTAGCATTTTTATTAGGAGCAAACTAGCCCAACAGTGCAGCAGATCCCCCATAAAGCTCCTGGCACAGTGCTGCTACGCAGTAACTGTTAGCTGTTATTATAGTCACTTAAAAGGTACTGTGCAGCCTTAGATACAATTAAATGCGACCAAAGTTACTATGCCAATTCAGATGCCATTATTACAAATACAAAAGCCTGGTGCTAAGCCAAGCAAACTAAGCGTCACCAACAGTGTGCCGCGTAAACTGAGTAATGTGTACTCAACACCTTGGCAGCCCTTGTGGTAGAACCGGAGAGCCAACATGTGACCAGTGCATGTCTTGGCCTTCAGGAACCCCATGGCCCGGTAGGGTTTACATGGAACTTTCCATCTGTAAAGTGACTGACATGACGGTGCCAACAATCACACTGCCGTAGTGTGAACGCACTCTTCAGACTCCATTACAATGAGGGGGGGCACCGGGCCCGGGGCACGAGGTGCTCAGTCACAAACTGACGGGTGCCTTTAGGAGCCGCAGACAGCAGCTGCCTGGGTTCCCGCACCACCGTGTGAGGGAACAGCAGGTGGACACCGGGAACAAGGAGACAGGGCTTCACCACACACAAAGCTGCTGCTCCTTCACCTGATTTCTCTGCTACCAGAACTTCTTCAGGGGAAAAGAAAAAAAAAGTCTTCAGATCTCTCTGTAAAAGCCACCTAGTTCCAGCATTCTATCTGCAGGGCTGACGAAACATGGTCCAAAAATAGAGTGGTGTGAGGGGAATTCCCAGTGCTTGTGAGAAAATTCCAAGAAAACAAGACTTGTGACCTCGGTTTCTTAAAAATCACGGAACTGTTCCTGGGCTGTGTCTGCATGCCCCTCTGGGTACAGCGGGTAAGAACGAGTTTATTTCAGCGGTTGCTACTCATGTGCCTCTATGGAAAGATGTTTTTCCACATGTATCCTGTCCCTGTGACTGGGTGACTCTTCTTAACCCTCAGAGTATAAACTGTCTGATGCTCTGAATAAAGTTGGCTAGTGCGTGAGACCTTAGTCTGCCTCATTTTTAGGCCCCATATCCCTGGTTCAGGCCACAACTAGAGTGGCTAACGCAGGGTAAAGTCAGTTCTACTCCCGAAGCACGTATCCTCAAGTACGGGATTTCCTCACCACCCAAACTAGAGAGAGCATTCAAGTAAAGCTTAACTCTGGAGGCCTCTCTTCTCACATACGGAGTACATGTGAGCAGGGTCGCATCTTTTCTCACACCCAGAATGTGGTGCTGGCAATATGCATGGGTAGGTGCAGCATCACTTTAAGATGCATGTAAAATTAATTATAAAATAAAAATATTAAAACCAAAAAAACAAAAAGTTATAAGCACAAGGTTTCACAAAATCAATAAAAAGATGCACATTAAGATGCAGTGCTGACTTTGCTACCATGAAACACATGCACAGAATTTATGTGTACTAGGCTTATAATTTTGTATCTTCTAGCTTCTGATCCTCAGAAAAAAAGAGCTAGAGATCTTATACAGGAGGAAATGCAAAAATATGAAGTTAAAAACTTTAAAAGCAACAGCTAAAATGTGGCGACGAATACTTATGATAAACCAGTGATGAATGCTGTTTCTCACGCACTCCATTAGTGTCTGCTTCAGATACTGTGCTAGGTATTTCCAGGCAGTTATGTTCTTAGTGCATCCAGCAAAATCCAGGACTTCAAACAGCACAGCCAAGCCCAGCTTCCGGTGTTCTTCTGTCTCTGCAATGGTCACAGAAGCCCAAGCTTAGAGGCGGCACTGGAGAGGCGCACAGAACTAAGACGACCCACCAAGTGAACGAAGCGGTTCATAAACCGCAAGCCTTCTGGTTGGTTAACTCTTTAAAACGATTCATTATGCTCACTGTCCTGGGCTGAGCTGAAGGTTAATGACTAAGGTGGCGAGCCTCTTCTGGAGTTATACCCCTCTATTTAAATACCACCTACCCTGTTTGGCATTTTTGGTATATCTGGGTTGAGACCTACAGACTTTGAGCAACTGACCTAAACAAGCTGACTTCCTTCTAAGACATACATTCTTTACTATACTGCACTGCAGCCCTCAAGGGGTTAACAAGAGGCAAATCATAGACATGAAGGGCATTCTGTCCTCCTGCTTCCGAAGTCTCTCCACTAGGACCGGACGGCACGCATTTTAAGCTTTGTGAGCTGTGGATGTGGAATCTCTGTTGCAGCTTCAGGTTCTACAGTCATAAAGCCAAAGCAGCCACCAGCATTCCAGGAGGGGTGGGTGCAAGTGAATTTAGCTTGTGAGAAAAGGAGATGAGTAGACGTGGCCCCTGGACCATGGATGGCTGGTCCTCCCTCTAGTCTACATGCACAAATGAGTATAAAACACAGTTTTACCTGATTTCCTAAGCAACATATGGAATTCTAACATTAGTGGATGAGATGGCACAATCTCATGTAAAATCTGAAAGAGAAAATGGTATTATAATTTATACACTATACAGACATTTCTCAAATTCTAGCTTATTTTCATGTAAAATTCTAACTGGCTAATATGCTCTCAGCAAATGAACTAAGGACTTAAAAAGTACTTTGCTTTTATCCGGTTTCAATCTGAACAGAAGGTATTCTCTGAAAAGTTACTTTAGAAAACCAGGAGATGTTCAGCGGGAAAGTGCGGACTGTGCGGGCCGGGGACCGGAGCACAGCGCCTCAGCACCACATAAAAAGCCGGTGTAGTAGCACGCACCTGTAATCCCAGCACTGGGAGGAACAGGGGGATCTTGGGAGTCACTGCCCTGGCAACCTGGCCTGGTGGTGAGCTTTAGGTTCACTGAGAGACCCTGTACCACAAAAGGTGGAGGGGCACATGGCAGCTCGCAACCATCTGAACCCCAGTCGCAGGAGGATCTAACTCTTCTGACCTCCAGAGGCACTGCATGCATGTGATGTACAGACGTGCAAAACACCCGTACACATAAAATAAAAATGAAGGAAAAAAATTAAAATAGTACGGTGGAGACCACCACAGGAAGACACCTAACAGACTCCTCGCCTCCACACGTACATGTGTAGGGACACTGAAGTATACCCACACAGTAAGCACGAGGACCACACGCTCATCCCTACAACTCGGGCACATCTGGAGTCTCAGCACTGGAGAAGCAGAGTCAGATGGGTCCCTGGCTCGCTGACCAGCCAGCCTAGACGACTTGGTGAGTTCCAGGGAGAAAACCTTCTTTATGAAACAAGATAGGCCAGGTGTGGTGATGCACGCCTTTAATTCCAGCACTTGGGAGGTAGAGGGCAGTGAATCCCTGTTAGTTTAAGGCCAGCTGGTCTACACAAGAGAGTTCCAGGCCAGCCAGGGCTACACAACAAGGCACTCTCTCAACAAAAAACATTTAATGAAACAAAAAAAACAAGGTAGATAGCTCTTGAAAAAGGACACCTGAGGTTGATCTCTGGCGTGTGCAAACTCTCTCTCTCTCTCTCTCTCTCTCTCTCTCTCTCTCTCTCTCTCTCTCTCTCTCTCTCTCTAATTCATCTATGTTCCCCCCTCTTACCCTCTCAAAATTCCTGCTAACAAAATGGTAAGGTTTACTGGAAGAAACAGATGAAGTAAACAGGCTTTTATTTGTATCTTACACATATCGATACTGCTTGCCAACTTAAAAACTTAAAAGATGTTGCTTTTAGAAAGAATAAAAGAAGACATTACAAAGCCAGGTATGGTGGCCTACTTGTAATCCCGACACTCTGCAGATTACAGAGAGTTCTGCAGAGGCAGGAGATTAGGACCTCAGGCCCAGAGCAGGCTGCAGAACGAGTTTGGAGCCAGTCTCTAACTACATGACACCAAGTCTCGGGAACAAAATCAAAGAACTCACATAGAAAACCATACCATGCTGCTCAGAAAATATCACAGAAGATTTACATAAGGCAAAAACTCAAAAGGGCAGAGAGTAATTTTAGAGAATATACTCAAACAAAACACACTAAAAAGCATGTGAATATTTTAAACAGTTCTTCTGTAAAATAAGGAGAAATTTAAAGATTTTATTTTTTAAGAATACAAAGAACTATTTTATGACTGGAACAAACAGGATTTGAAGTAACATTATCTCACATTTGAAAACACATTAACAAGGAGTTTGAGTCAACAAGATGACTCCGTGGGTAAAGGTGCGGCTGCGCTGTGCCTGGCAGCCTGCGTTTGAACCCTGGGGGTCGGAAGGTAGAGCGAGGCCGACTCCAAAAGCTGTCGTCTGATCTCCACGACAAGCAGGTGACACACATACACACACCTGGACACAATATATACACATATACATATATACACACATACACACATATACACACATCTGGGCACAATATACACACATACACACATACACACACACGCACACACACCTGGACACAGACAAAACAATTTCATCTAAAAGTGAATTCATGCCTGCCCTCTCCTGAAGGGAAAGGAGTGCATCCGGAAGAAGGTGATGTGGGTGGGGAGGGGCTGGGAGGAGAAGGGAGGGGAACTGTGTTGGATGTAATATATGAGAAGGGAAAAAAGGGCATTCATTCTTTCTGTTTCCTGGGATACTTTGACTTTATTTCCAACAAAGCAAAAAGCAAATTTTGTCCGTTTCTCTTGGTGGTTTTGTAAATGGTCAATTAAGCAAAGTCAGAATAAATACTGACACATCAATAACAGAAGTTATTAAAACTTTGCTGCTACAGTCACATTTTTTCACGATTTATCTATGAATATCTCAATTCACTTAAAAATTTCACTGAAATACGCGTACTGTTATGTCAAACAAGTGCAGTGTGGCAGTCAACACGTTCGCGGGAAGTTAAGCACACTCACGTAACTACCACCCAGATCAATTACCGGTGTCAACAGATGAGTTTCAGAAGCTCTCAGCTGCCTGTTCTTCAAGTGCTGTCTGTCTGCGTCTGCTTTGTGTGCTGTTCCCCCCTCTCCTCCTGACTACACACACACACACACACACACACACACACACACACACACACACACACACACACACACACCGCTCTTCCCACCAGGCCCCTACAGACCTTTCTGCACTTTCACCCCTCACTTGCACTTGACCCTTTACCTTTGACCCTGATCCTCATTTTGCTACGACAGACCTTAGACTATCGACCATATTCTTAGCTCCCAATACTTGGTTTCTCAGAAGGAAAAACAGCATTTCTCTCTAATTATTTTCTCTTAAACCTAAGTGTTCAAGCCTGTCCCTCTGCATCCCAGCATTTGGGAGGCTGAAGAAAGGCTGGAGCGCAGTAGGTAAAGATGTGCTTAACATGCTGGGGGGCCTAGGTTCAGGAGGGGAGGGAGAGAATGCCTACACTCAACACACACACCCCTGCCTAACTGTTCTTAGAAAGGCAAAATAGGCATTCCTCACAGATGGTAATAAATGGCCAATAAGCACATGAAAAGATGCTCCACCATGACTAGTCATTAGGGAAACACAAGTCTACACTACAGTGAGACATCATTTCACACACACTAGAACAACTTATCATCTGAAAGCAAGGGGTGGGATAAAGAGTTGGCAAGGATGTGGAAGGCCTGCATCTCCTCTGGTCCTAGCAGGACACAACCGGGACACAGCTGCCCTGGGAAGCAGTTTGGTGATCCCTCCAAATGTTCCGCAAACAATCCGCATCTCATCCAGCAGTGTCACCCCTAGGTGTACACCTAGATGACTAAAAGCAAGCACTCAAACATGCCCACAGCAATCTCCCCCACGGCACTCCTGACCACCGTCAGACAGGACCCAAGCGCGGCGTCTGTCAGCAGGTGACGGGGCCAGCCAAAGGCGTTCTGTAGGCTCAGTCAACACTCAGCCTCACAAAGAACGGCAGCTCCGACCCACTGCAACCTGAGGGACCACGGAATTAGAACCGCATGAAAGACAAATGCTGTGTGACTCTGCCCTAGAGGAGGTATCTGGACCCGGCAGATTCGTTAAGACCGGAGGAGACAGATGTCCAGGGTTTCAGAGAGGCAGTAACAGTAACTTACTGACTAATGCGTACAGAAACTATGATAATTAAAACATCAGAAACTGGTGATGACAGCAAGAAATTAAGTTCTAATGTTAACTATTACTTAAGGTGAAAAGTTTTGATATGTATATTTATCACGATAAGAAAATTTACAAATACTATATAATAACTCCAAACATGAACTATTTTGTAATCAATTTATCCAACTAATATACCAGAAAGTAAAATATTTCAGAAAAAAAATGAAGACCTAGAGACATGCCATGTTCCACTTGGAAACCTCAACCTCATTTACATGTCAATTCTTGGGGCTGGGAAATGGCTCAGTTAAGAGCTTGCTGCTCTTTCAGAGGACCAGAGTTCAGTTCCCAGCTGCCACATCAGGTGACTCACCAGTGCCCTCTTCCAGGCACCTCGGGCATCTGCACTCATGTGCACAGCCCCACACACATGCAGTTAAACAAAAAAGAGTGAAAGGAAAAGAAGGCAGGGCTGCGTTTTAGAAACCGGACCATGAAGTTTTGCGCTTCCTCTTTCCAGCCAGTGCCAAGTGACGGGCATCTCTTGAGACAACGGGCACCATTGCCGCAAGACTAGGGGTAGGAGAAAGCCCTACCACGAGGAGGCGGAAGGATGAGCTGGGACAGCCTGCTGCCAGCACTAAGATTGGCCCTCATGGTATACACACAGTCCGAGTTCACAGAGGCAGTAAGAAGTACCGTGCCCTAAGACTGGATGTGGGGAACTTTTCCTGGGGCTCTGTGCGTTGTACTTGCAAAACAAGGATCATTGATGTTGTCTACAATGCATCCATAACGAGCTGGTCTGCACCAGGACCCTGGTGAAGAACTGCGCTGTGCTTATCGACCGCACACCACACCGACGGTGGTATGAGTCTCACTATGCGCTGCCCCTGGACCACAAGAAGGGGGCCAAGCTGACTCCTGAGGAGAAAGAAATATTAAACAAAAAACGATCAAAGAAACTCCAAAAGGAATATGATGAAAAGAAAAAGAACGCCAAATCAGCAGTCTTCTGGAGGAGCAGTTCCAGCAGGGCAAGCTTCTTGCCTGTTTTGCCTCAAGACCAGGCCAGTGTGGCCGAGCAAGTAAAGTATCATTCTTAGCTCATGTAACAAAGGTGCTTATTGTTCTATTTTATACACACACACACACACACACACACACACACACACACATACATATATATATATGGTGCCAGTTCTTTCAAAATTGATCTACAGATTCAAAATCCCTCCAAGACTTTTGTTTCTATAGCAACATACTGATTTTTAAATGTATATAAAAAGTCAAAGGACCCAGAAAATGCAGAAAAAAATTTAAAATGGGCAGATTAATATAATTTTCATGAGATTCCAAGACTTCTTCAGGTACAGTGACCATGCTAAATATGTATCATCAGGGCCAAGCGATCTTAAAGCTCTCAATGGAGAAGACAAGCCTTTTCAAGAAGTAGTGCTAGACCAGCCAAGCAGAGAAAAAATAACCCTGAATCTTACACCTCACAGTACACAAAAATAACCCATCATAGACCTTTAGCATAAAACCATTCAGCATATCTAGAAAAATGAAACATAAAAGGGAATCATTAGTTTGGAAGGCCAAAAATTTCTCAGATAAAAGGCACTAAGCCATAAAAGGAAAGTGAAATTTGGACATCATTAAGATTTCTGATCTTTGAAAGATACTGATAAGAAACAGAACACAAAGTATTATGTATATATAATACAGAGAGGCATAGAGAGAAACATACTGTGGTGGTTTAAAAGAAAATGGCCCCAAAGGGAGTGGCACTATTAGGAGGTGTGGCCTTGGAGGAAGTGTGTCACTGTGGGGGCGGGCTTTGAGGTCTCTTTTCCTCAAGCTTTCCTCAGTGTGACTTTCAGTTGACTTCTTATTGTCTGCAAGATGTAGGACTCTCAACTATTCCTACAGCACCACGTCTGTCTGCATGCCACCATGCTCCCCATCATGATGATAAGGGACTAAACCTCTGAAATGGCAGCAAGCCACCCCAATTAGATGTTTTCTTTATAAGAGTTGCCATGGTCATAGTATCCCAAACTAAGACATACCACACTCACAGTGGTACAGTGGATGCTTAGAACAGTGAAGGAACTCAGTTCAATCCCAGCACCACGAAGACTAAAAACAAAACACAGGCAAGCAAAGAGCCACAGGCAAAAAAGGCCTACAAATCCATATCTAACAAAGGAATTGCATCTAATTACATAAAATCTCCCCAGTTGGTAATAAAAACACCACCAAGAAATACACAAAATATCTAAACAAACTGTTGACAAATAAATACAAGGAAATAGTCAGCAGCCCCCAAAAGATGCTCAGTATCAGTCAGGGAACAGCGAATCAAAGTCACATGAGACCCCAATACAGCACTGCAGTGGCCATGATCCAGTCTTCAGGACGGAGGCAGGGGAGCTCGAGACTGAACTTTATCCACAGACAGTAGTGGTGTCAACAGCATAGTTTCATAGATGGTAAGTAAGGACTCTCCTTACTTAGCGATCCCATTTTTAGGTGGCTAGCTACCCAAGAAAATGAACAAAGACTTACATATGTCTCGGCACATGACTCTTAACAGTGAAAGAATGAAAATAAGGCCTGGTACTGTAGCTCAGTGAGAGAGAGCGTGCCCCGAGTTCACTCCCCAGCACCACCAAGCGTGCGTGTGAGCCTCATGCGTCTCCTCGTCCATCAAGAGATTTGAGTCATGACTAAAGCCCATGCTCAATAAAGTACCTACTCTGCAAGCATAAGGCTGAGTTCAGATCCCCAGAACTCACACGTCAAGCAGTGCATGCCTATAAACTTAGCAGAGGGCGGCTCCCTGGAGCTCCCTGACTAACCAGTTTAGCCAATGAGGAGTGCTGGGTCCAGCGAGGACCTGCTCAAAGGGGGCTCACTTCTGTGCCTGCTGGCTAACATCAACTGTGAAAAATAAGTGGCGAGCAACAGGAGGACACACCACCAGCTCTGACCTCTCCATGCATGCACACATATGTGCACATGCATACATTAGTCACACCATAGCATGGAGAAAACTAAAAATACGCTAAGCAAGAGAAAGACAGACAAAAAAAAAAAAAGCAAAAACTATAAGGTTGCATTTATATAAAATTTCAGAAGAGGTTTAAAATAAATCGACCAATGGCTGCCTGGCACAGGGGCATGTGGGCGGGCTGGTATTTAGGGGGTTAGACAAGGACTCCTGAGTCCTGCAGAAGTACTCTTGAGGTTCATTATCATGGCGGTTCTGTGGATGCATATACTCATTAAAGTGCAACCAAGTATGAAAACGATTGCCTGTAAAGTATGTCAACTAAATCTCAGTACAGGTGATTTTTCAGAAATATCACTGCAGCGTTTTCCAAGCAGAGTGAGAGACTTTCTCCTCAGGAACTGGAGCTGGAGCTCCCTCCTAAAGCCCAGAGGGAGCAGCGTTCTCTGCTGACCACAGTACACCACTCATACACTGCTGTTTACTGTTGTTTTGTCTTTTGGTGCTGGGCATCAAACCCAGGGCCTTGCATACGCTAGTCCAACGCTCTACCACTGAGCTACACCACCAGCCTGCCGCCATTTTCTAAAGGTGCCGCGATGTAAGGAATGCCTTTCTCTTCAAACACTCGGGAAGTTCCTGTACCTTAAGAACACTTATCAGTTTCGCTCTCGGTGCCTTCTCTCTCTTGAGAAATTCGTATAAGTAGATGTGGGCATTGGGGTTTGAGGGGAACTTTTCATCATACGCATAATTGGTGAGTATCTCTCGGGCTCCGTCTTGATCACCGTAGAATTCTAGCATCTGTATGAAACAAAGCACGTCTTAGGTTAATTCTGTGCAGTAACTCCACAAAGAAGCTACAAGCTCACTGCTAAGAACAGCGAAAGTGACAAACACCGCAGAGCAGACAAGAGCAACCCTCACTCTGCTTTTCTAACGTTCCTACAGCTTCCACAAGACAGGATCAGAGGGCTACATGTGGTCTCATGTTTTCCCTGAATTTGTTACTGGAAAATGTAGACCCCTAATGTAAGAACAAGATATCCACGTCCCCAAAGTAGAGAACACTAATGACCAAGAGTGTGACTCAACTGCCTTAACACCCTCTTAACTTCAGCATTGAGGAGTACAAAATAATTACATCTCCTACTTTTGAAGCGATTCACAGATGAACTAGATTATCTTCTGATAGCAAAATGGTCACTTTAGCACCAAGCAGTGCCCAAGCCCCCGGTTCTTCGGCAAGGACTCTGAGATACGGGGGTAGCTATAAAAACTTTCTAAAAGCCACTTTTTCCCTCTCCCCTTATAATGTGATTGGTCCAGATTTTTCCCACTTCCCTTCTACATGGCACCAAATCTTTGGCAATGATTCTGTTTTTACATTATGTTCAACAATAAAAACGCAGATGTGCCAGTCACAATTATATCACTAGGCAGAGGTATCTGGCCATGACAGGTATATTTATTTTTCTCATCAATGCCACCAAAAACTTCACAGAAACAACTAAAAGAAGGAAGGAATTAGCCAGGTGGTGGTGGCACACGCCTTTAATCCCAGCACTCAAAGGCAGAGGAGGGCGGACCTCTTGAGTTTGACGCTAGCCTGGTCTACAGAGCGAGTTCTAGGACAGCCAGGGCCATACAGAGAGACTCTGTTGGGTTAGTTCAGAGGGTCAGAATCCATCAAGAAAGAGAAGACATGGTGAAGGCTTAGTCTGTGAAAGCGTGTGGCAACTACTCATCACATGATACTGACCAGGGGAGGATGGAAACAGGCCCCTCCGTGAGTCCCACTTCCTCCAGCCAGGCCCTACCACATAAAGGTTCCACAATCTCACAAAGTTAGGGACCACCAGCATTCAAGCAACTTAGTCTTTATAGGACATTTCACATTCAAACCATTAAAAGGTTAGCCAGGGGTAAAACTAAACAAGACTAACTTACATAGCATATTAGTAAGCAGGAATTATTTAGACCAAAAAAGAGAAACTTTAAGCATTTCTTCTATTAGCTTCCTTCTGATCATATGACAAAAATCAAACTAACACAATCTTGTACTTTTGTTCTTGAGAAGGTTCTACTACAAATGTAGCCCAGGCTAACCTGGGGCTCAAGCCTGCAGCAATCCTGTCTCAGCTTCTCAGCACTGGGACTACAAGCACATCGCCACCCTGGCCTATGAAAAGTGACTTACCTCCACATAACTCTTCACAAAAGGATCCCAAACCCCAGGAGTTTTAAGCAGTGCACTGATACTTGCAGACGTCTTGCAGCTCTGGCTGAGCATGTTTTGGGTTTTTGCCGTATAAGCATAATCATCCTCATCTGCTCAAACGTAAGAGAGTCATACATTCATTTAGAGAAGCCAAAAAAAGTTATTAGAGAAGCCATAAGCAAAGCTCCAGCCCAGGTGGACGGTAGTAAACGCTAACAAGTATAAAGAGAACTAACCTCTTATGGAATGCCCAACTCCCCCACAGGGTATTGGCAACCCTGAGTCTAGCCACCTCAGAAAAGCCATTGTACACCACACCCAAGGGTAGTTAAGCAGCTGAATATCAACTAATGTAAGCATGAAGATCCACGCTCTAAACCAAACCAATGCACAGTGATCAACAGAGGTAGCAAAGACATGACAAAGCTCAATAACGCTTTATGTCATAAAAACAGGCACCAGTCTAGGAATAGAGGGACTCACGCCATCTGAACTTTTTAAAATTTCTTAAATTTAATTAAAAAATAGCTAACAAGCTTGATGAAATCTGAGAAAAAGACAAGGCATCCTTTGTCATGACTTCTGCTCACTACACTAGGTTTTCATCAGGGTAATGAATCGAGGAAACGCAATGACTCTAGACTGAAAGGAAGAAAAGTTATCTCCATTCAGATGACATGATCCTGGTACACAGAAAGCCTTAAAAAATCCATGAAAAACTCCTAAGAGCTGGTGGGTGGAGATGGCTCAGTGGTTACACACACTAATTGCTCTTACAGGACCAGGGTTTGATTCCTAGCACCCACATGTTGCTCACAACCATCTATAAATCTAGGCCCAGGGGATCTGATGCTCTCCTCTGGCCTCTGCAAGCACCAGGAATGTATGTGGTGCAGACATACATGCAAACAATACACACAGACTTTCATTTTTAAAAATATTATAAGCATTAACAATTCCTTAAGATCACAGGACATAAAACTAACACACACACACAAATAGATTATGTGATGGAGCACAGTGGTGTACACTTTAAATCCCAGCACTTGGGAGGCAGAGGCAGAAGGATCTCTGTGAGTTCCAAAACCAGCCTGGTTTACATGGTGAGTTCCAGACAGTCAGGGCTACATAGACCCTGTCTCAAAAAACAGTGGACAGCAGCTCCTGAGGATGACAATCAAGGTTGATTGACCTCTTATCTCCACATTCCCAATGACAAGTACACACTCATATGCACACATATACACACTCAAAGAGCAACAAAGGTAATACTTAGGAATAAATTTATAAAGATATGAAAAATTATACTCTGAAAAGTAATATTGTTTAATAAATTTGAATGTAAAGTTGCCTCATGTTTACAAAGTAAAAAACTACTGCTAAAGTTCATCCATAATCCTATAATCCCTATCAAAATCACAACAGCTGTTGCATAAGCTGACAAGCTGATATGAATGATTTCACAGTTCATGACAATACAAGGGGCTGAGCAAAGTCTAAACAATCTTTAAAAAGAGCAAGGTTGGAAGATGCATACTATCATTTCCAAACTTATTACAATGTACAGTAATCAAAACTGTATGCTACAGACATAAGGATTAACATACATAGATCACTCACCAGAGAAATCAGAGCCCCAAAATAAACCTTTGTGATTATGAGCAACTGATTTTCAGTACAGCTGACAAGACAAATTTAAAAAAGGAACGCTCCCCTCCGCGCTGCCCCCCCCCCCAAGACAGGGTTTCTCTGTGAAACAGCTCTAGCTATCCTAGAACTCGATCTGTAGACCATGCTGGCCTCGAACTCACAGAGACCCTCCTGCCTCTGCCTCCCAAGTCCTGGGATTACAGGTGTGCACCATCATCATCTCCTGACTAAAAGGAAGAGTTTTCAAAAAATACAATCAAACAACTGGACAGCCACATGCAAAACAACAGGGTGGATTGTTACCCATCTTATGTACAAAAAAGTAACTCAAAATGGATTAAACATCTAAATATAAGGACTAAAACAGTAATAGACTCTTACAGTAGACATCCTTGTAGATCTGAAGTCTACAACCAATTCTGCCGGTGCCCATGTCAGAGGAGCAAAGCAGCATGTGGCAACTGAGCTTCAGGAGTTTGGTTCACCAGAATGCAAGGCACTGATGGGTGAATCCCAGATAGGCAAGGCCCCCAGGGCTTCAGCTACAGAACGTCTCTTGCTACTGTGATGCCTTTTAAATGTTTGTTTAAATGTTCTCTGGTATATGGCATGATGTGGATGGGTGTGGGGAGATCCCCACTGCCTCTAATGTAGTGTGATTATCTCGTGGAAATATCCCGTTTTATTGGGCATTTTCACCTGTGGATTATTATGAAGATGGTTTCCTCTTAAGATGAACTGTTTAATTGAAGTAATGATTTTATACAATAATAGTGTTAGTTTAAATAGGATTTTGATGATTAAGGATTTCTAACACATATAGTAAGATTATGATAGAGGTTAGGTTAGTGGGAAAGTTAATATAGGTGAAGGTAAGATAGAGTGTTGCCCCTGCCCCTGAAAAGTAGGGGCTGCAGAAAGACAGAACACAGGAACAAGGAAGTGTCTCACAGCTAGGACTTAGGAGCTTTCCTTGAGGAGTCGAATAGACTTCGGTTCAGGTTCAAGATTAAGGAAAATGATCTAATCCCAGGTGTTAGGCTAGCCAAAGTTCTTTTAATCTTTATGTTGGAAAATGTGTTCATGGTTTCAATGTACATCATAGCTTTAAAAAAAGCTTTAAATAATGACTTCATGTAACTAAAAAACAGAGAATTGGAAGATTAATTAAGATAATTGGACAGAACTCTAAAATATGAAAAGTAATTAGTAACTGTTTTTCTGGCAATTATAAAAACTACCGTCTACGTGAACGGTTATGGCTGGAAGGCCCTGATCTGTGAGAAGTCTAAGAGAAATAGCTGACTGACCTCATGCTGTCATTAAGCACAGCTCTGCTTACTGCCCTCGTGGTCACCACCTCGTGGTCACCACCTCCCTCCTCATCTATGGGTTGCATGAAAACTCTCGGGGGTCTCCGGCCCCTCACTGGGCACTGTCACTGGTATAATAACAGTGACTGACATTTTCCAAGCATTGCTGCTGAAGCAGATTAATGATTCAACCCCCACCTTAGGAAGAATTTAGACATGCAGAATTGTTAGTAAGGTTAGGTTAAGATGTTTTTGTTAATGACTTTGAGGCAGAAAATCTTGGGGAACAATTGAAAGCTTAGAAAGACATACTTAATAGTTGAGTGAGGGACGCGTTGAAGTCATGAACAAAAGCAACGGCAGCCTGGCTACTGCGCCTTTCTTGCTAGGATGTGTTAGTGATTCTATCTATCAAGTTGACATTAACTAGCCAGCTCAGAAGTGATTACTAGTTGAGAGAGGAAGCATTAAGAAGACACATGGGCACAGCTAACAGGTTAAGGTGAGAGCAATGACAAGTTCCCTTATCTGTGTGGTGGTTACAGGGATGGGAACTGTACATGTGTTCATTCTATACTGTATGTGTTGAATTTCATAAAAGGTTTGAAGCAGAGTTAGTCTTTCAAAAGTTACAGCTAACAGAAGCACAAAATGATACTTCAAAGTAAAAAGGCACACTGATTCTTTTCCCAGTAGCTGGGTGAGTTAGTTTCAGTCTGTGCTTAGAAATGAGACCAAAGCCAGGCAGTGGTTGCACATGCCTTTAATGCCAGCACTGGGGAGGCAGAGCCAGGCGGATCTCTGTTAGTTCAAGGCCAGCCTGGTCTACAGAGTGAGATCTAGGACAGGCACCAAAACTACACAGAGAAACCCTGTCTCAATTAAAAAAAAAAAAAAATGAGGTAAGCAAATGGAAACCGTTTACTGGCTTAAAGTTGTTATTTACATTTCTTCTTACATGTGGTACTAAAATGAGCAAGTTATTTCATGACTATTTGGACTGGTATTTACCACTCCTTTGGATAGATAACATTGTACTTTTCTTTCTGCATGCAGTTGATGGTTTATTCTGCAGTAGATTTAGGGGAGAATAATGAGAGGAGCTTTCAGAAGATCTTTAACCTTAAGTGTCTTTAATGAAGAAAACAAAACAAACAAATAAAAATAAAAATAAAAGCATTTCTGCCCATACAAGCCCAGTGCTTGCTTGAATTTTTGAGACAGGATCATGTAATACAACCCACCCTAACCTCAAACTCAAGATAGCCTCAGCCTCCCAAGAGCAATGTGTCTTCCATCCCATCTGGATGAGCTCAGTGGTCTGTGTAAGCCACGCTGCCCTGCCGTCCCTTCACCAAAAGAAAGCTGACTATGGCCACTCACCAAGCTCTGACAGCTCCATCTTCTTTTTGGACCAAGTGTAGTACTGTAAAAGCCCTTTGTAGGCCTGAACAAGGTTGATCAACACTTCCTGAGAGGACGACTTTTCCCCATATCTCCATGTCTCTGCATCGCTGAGATTTCTATTTGCATCCTCAAGCATTCCGTGATGTAAAAGATACAATGCATGTTGTAAGGAGATCTGCACCAAAAAGAAGAACCCACTGTTGCTAAAGTCAGAACTATTAGTCAGAAACCCCAGGAAAGGTGTAACATACACTGGCCTAGTCCTGAAAACTATGCAGTAGAACCTTCAAATAAAAGTGAAAGCTCAGCTGAGCGGTGGAGGCACATGCCTTTAATCCCAGCACTCAGGAGGCAGAGCCAGGCGGATCTCTGCGAGTTCAAGGCCAGCCTGGTCTCCAAAGTGAGTTCCAGAATAGCCAGGACTACACAGAGAGACCCTGTCTTGCGAGCGAGCGAGCAAGAGAGAGAGAGAGAGAGAGAGAGAGAGAGAGAGAGAGAGAGAGAGAGAGAGAGATGAAAGCTCAGATAGTGGTATAGTCTATACTCTGTCATTTACATTTTTTAATCAAGCAAAGAAAGACACTGTGAAACAACTAACACTATGTAATTGAGAGTATCAGAGTACAGTGCAACACAGTGAGAGAACTGGGCAGAGAAGCCACATTGTAGCCTGAACTAGCTGCTCACTCCATACTTCACCTGTTGTCAATGACCCTTCAGAAGAGGCTGCTCAAGATAAATGACATAACCTTACCTGCTTGACCTACAGTAGACAACAGCCTAACTAACAACTTCACACACGTCAAATATGCTCAGAAAACATCCTGCCAAGGAGTGCTGAAGAATGGATTTAGTTTAAAGGGAAAGAGGATCCCTGAAAGGCAAAAACAACCACCATAGAGCTGGGTGTGGTGGCCTCAGCTGGAATCCCAGCACCAGGAAGGCTGAGTAGGACTGTGAGTTGGAAACTAGCCTGGGCTACACAGCAAGGCTTCGCCTCAAAACAATAAAAAGTGTGGGTTTGGGGGGAGCGCTAGGAAGATGATTCAGTGGATAAGCTATGCGGAGAAAGAGTGAGGACCAGAGTTTGGATCCCCAGAATCCACAGAACAAATTGGTAGGCATAGGAGCCTGCCTATCACCCCGGTGCACAAGAGGTGGATACAGGATCCCAGAGCAAACTGGTTCTCCAGATTAGCCGGCCAGAACCAGTTAGCTCTGGGTCAGCAAGAAACCCTACCTCAATAGATAAGGTGGAGGATGATCAAGAAAGACTCCCAGTGTCAACATCAGACCTCCAGACTTAGACTTACACACACACACACACACACACACACACACACACACACACACACAAAATTAGAAAATTGAACAAGTTAAAACAAAACCAAAAGCCAGAAATGCACATTTTATGCTTTGCATGCTGTGTGGTTTCTCTCATATTTACTCAACTTGTGGCCAAGTTCTTATACAACTTTATAGTCTTGAAAAAAATTAACAACAGATTATTTATAAAATTACTAAAGAATGGTATTCTTTTAGTTAGGAGTATATAATAGAGAAGAGGCTGTAATACTGTCGGATGCTCTCAGTCCCTTTTGCAAAAAAACTATTATTAAAAGACAGGAATTCGGAGAGAATTTATCCAAACAGCAGGAACGTTACAGCATTTGAACAAGTTCAAGTTCCTACTTTGTTTCACAGTTTGCTTTTTTCCAAAAATGCCAGCTTGGCTCAAGTCAGTTCAGCAACCATGTGAGGACTGGCTGTGTCCACAGTGAGGACCAGCCAAATCTCTGAAGGACTGGGTTTGACAGCCAGAGACAGACCAACAGGGTTCCGATCTGATCACATGGAAGGTGGCTGGAAACCAGAAATGAGCAGTCCGCACAGTAGTGTTCTCCCGTCTCCTTTACCCACGGGATTTAACTATTTTCCATGATTTTCTATCTCAGCATTGATACAGGCAATTAAAATAAACACACATTAAAAATATAAAATCTGGGGCTGGAGAGATGGCTCAGCAGTTAAGAACATTGGTTACTCTTCCAGGGAACCCAGGTTCAATTCCCAGCACCTACATGGCAACTCACAACTGTCTGTAACTCCAATTCCAGAGGATCTGACAGCCTCACAGACATACATGCAGGCAAAACACCAATCAGTGCTCATAAAATAAATAAATGATTTTTAAAAATATATAAAATCTACATTCTCACCTTTAAATAATTCAAGACACCAATATTTTTCATCCGGTCGGCAAAGCTATTAAAAGTCTCCACATTGCTTCTGGGGTGATAAAATAGAATTTCACTTCCAAGCTTCCAAATGATCTATCAAAGCAGAAATTAGTATCAAAACAATAAATCCTTACCTTATCCAGTTTCTTCCTACAAAACTGTGCTTGTTTTTTCCTGTTTATAACATTTAAAAGCACCTTATGCTTCCTCTCCATGGAGACCACCACTGCCAGACTACCCTTCCCTGGCAAACCTGCGTTCTTAAGTAGGTGGTCATCGTTACATCTCAAAATTCTAGTGTATTGGTGACGTTTCTGTTGCTGTGACAAAACACCATGACCATGGCACTTAGAAGAAGAGTGTATTCAGGCTCACAGTTCCAGAGGGTTAGTCTGCGATGGAGCACAAAGCCACGGCGGCAGCAAGCTCACATCCTGAAGGGCAAGCATGAAGCAGTGATCTCTACGCTCTGAAAGCCCATCTCCAGTGACACGGACTTCCTCCAGCAAGGCTGGATCTCCTAATGCCCCACACAGTGGCACCAGTGGAACCAAGCCTATGGGGGCATTCTCACTCACACCACTACCCTAGGTAAGAATAAGAGTGCCATTGTTAAATCAGCGCTCTCGAGAAGGCACCATTAAGATGCATATTCAGCGTAAACTTAAAAATCAGTATGAAATGGTAAATCAGAAAACAGGTTCCTACAGGGCTAACTCATCTTCAACCCTCCAAGCGCAGACAGCAGACATGTCCACGCTCCATGAACTTTCATCCACAGAGTGTATGTGCTATGTACTTAGGCTGTCAATCGAAGAATATTTATCAGAAAAGACAAATTGCAATGAAATACATGTCCTCAGGCCACATTTTGGTGACAGAACTTGAGCTCTTCTTTTCTCAGGGAGCAAATGTCTATTTCTCTTTCAACCGAAAGTAGATGAATAAAATCAGGAGTCTCTAAAAGTAAGTTGCCTCTGCCTCTCTTTCCCCTGTGGGGCTATCAGGTGTGCATCTCCACATCTGGCTTTTTATACACCAGGACATCAGGAGTGCTGGGCAAAGGACAGGGATGGGTATGCGAGTGAAGTCACTGGAAGAGGCCTCAGGAGGGTGGCAGTGGCTGAAGAAGACCCTTCCAAGAAAAGGAAATGAAAGGGAAAGCGTTTGCCTCCCCTGCTCCACTGAAAGCAAGGGCAGTGAGGCTAGAGAAGAAAACCCAAGGTAAAGAAATGGGGTCAGACAGGCAGACCAGGAAGAGGGTGAGCTCAACCCGAGGACGTCCACAGCAATCGGAGGACGGTGGCGGGTGCTCCAGGGAAATGGAAAGCCACCAGTGTTCTCATAACCAACCACGGTTTCGAGAAGCCCCGTCTCCATCATCAGTCAAGAGGGAAATGCAAATCGTAACACAAGCAAATTCTACTTCACAATTCGAAGTATCAAAAAAAAAAAAAAAAAAAAAAAAAGGCATGGTTGCTCGTGCCTCCCAGCCTCAGGAGGTTTAGATAGAGGCCTGCTGTAAACCTGAGTCGGAGGCCAGCACAGTATCCAGATCAAGACTGCCACATAAATAAATAAATAGATAAATAGATAAAAAAAAAATAATAAATAAATAAATAAATAAATAGAAATAAATAAATAAATAAATAGAAATTATCAATGAGGATGTGAAAAAATTAGAACATTTAATATTGCTGGTAGAAATATAAAGTGGGAAACTCCTTTTGGTAAGGAGTCTGGTAAAACCTAAAGAGATTAAAGGTAGTGTTATCATATAACCTATAATTCTACTCCTCAGTATATACCAAAGAGAAATTAAAGCAAGCACCATGCAAAAACACATACATGAAGTGTAGAGCGAATCCACTGATGAGTGGATGTATGAAATGGTATTCCATACAATGGAACCCTGACAGTGAAAGGAAGGAGTGAGCCGGGCGTGGTGGTGGACACCCACCACCCCAGGACTCGGGAAGCAGAGGCAGGGGAAACAAAAGGCCTCTGTGGGCAGAGCTAGACGCAGAACTCCCAGCAACCGGCTGCGTCCAGCAGCCTCGCGGCGGGCGCCTACCTCAGGGGCAGCCTGCCTCTTGTAGGTGTCGGAATCCTCCAGGGTCTGTAGGTAACTGTGCATGTACTCCGCAGCCCGCTGCCACTGGTGCTTCAGCAGGGCTTCGTGGATAAAGCTTAAACACGCGCTTGTCGTCTGAGTAAAATCCCTCTTCCTCTTCCCTCCAGTCACTGCAGCAATGGACAGAAGACGGATTACTCCACTGACTCCAATTCAGCTACTCAAAACCTTAATAAACACAAGTTTTAACAAGGGCAGCAAGTGCTATGACCCAGCCTATCCCAGTATCAAGCCTACTAACTTAAACTCTGCCATATAATGTTAGTTTTAGTGGTCTCCTGACCCATGATGGAATGTTGACAAGTAGTCCTGGGTGGATCTTACGCAAGGAGCCACTGTGCTATACATTCGGTCTTTCCATACTCTTGAAATGAGCTTACGTAGAAACTCAAAGGAGAATCTGAAAACCAAGCTGGACACAAGGGCACTGTAATCTGAGCACTAAAGAGAATGAGGCAGGACTGTGAGTCCCAAGACTGCACTACATAAGGGAATTCTGCCTCAATAAATATAGTAGATAGCCTTGTCCTACCAGGCTCCCTGTATCTTTTAAAACTGATTGTTCCTTTACTAAATAACTTGGAGAGAACCTTCTAAAGGAACAGGCCCCAGTATTTACAATGGATAAAAGTCACCAATGCTGTCCTAGGGAAATATGGTCTTATTACCCACTAATGTTCAGAAAACTCCAAGTGAACCTTTTTTGTTTAAGGATCAAGTTTCAGTAATTCGGTAATAGTAAATGAATCAAGATCCACACAGTTGTAAACATTAGCATCAGCTAGGTCTGTGAAGTACTGACACTCTCGGGGTGACAGTCCATGGGCTTAGTTACACTATTATATTACAGAAGAGACAAGTTAGACTGGTAGCTCCTTCTCCCTTCTACCGGTCCTGTTTGGCCAGCAGTCTTGTTTGTTTGTTTGTTTCTTTCTTTCTTTCTTTCTGTTTCGTTCCTGGTTTCCTGGGACTCACATGGCCCAGGCTGACCTCAAGCTCACTATGTAGCCAGTACAACCTGGGACTCTTTCTGCCTGGTCTCCCAAACACTGGAGTTGCAGGTGTGCACAATCATCCCTGGTTCCCGCCTAGTCTTCCAGCTAGACCCCCTTATGTAAGCAAGTACAGAGACCAACAGGAACCACGAGAAGATACTTTTCAAACAATCTGGGCAGGTCCTGGAGAGACGGCTCGGAGGTCAACATCACGTGCTGCTCTTAAAGAGGCCCTGAGAATTCAGTTCCCAGCACCCAGGCAGCTCACAGTCACCTGTAACTAACATCCAGATCAGGGAATCTGACACCCTCTTCTGGCCTCCATGGGCACTGCACTCACACGCACAAACCGAAAGACAAACATACATATACACATAATAAGAAATAAAAATCTTAGGGACTGGAAAGATGGCTCAATGGCAAAGACGGTACTTGCTGCTCTTGCAGAAGACCAGGTTTGGTTCCCACAGCCACATGGCAACACACATCTGTGTCAATAACTCCAGGGAATCCAACACTCTCTTTTGGCCTCTGTGGGTACCACATACATAGTACACACACATACATAAAGACTCATATACATAGAAGCCAAAATAAATTTAACACAGTAAAATTTTCTTAAATGTAAACAGCCAGGACAGAGGCTGCAGCTCAGTGGCATTACAAGCCACCTGCGAGGCTCTGGATGTGATCCCAGCATGCCCATAACAATCGGAAAGAGCACAAGGTCAATGTGTGTATCTGTGTCACCTAAAACTGATCTTCTAGAGAACTATGCCCGTGCTCAAGGCCTACAGTCAAAATGCACATAATACTTGCAGGCAAAGACGAGGCTTACAAGTGAATGCCTCTTCACATTGCCCCTTGCAAGTCAGATGATTTCCAAAATCTGTCTCGTCAAAACCAAAGAGATACTGCTAACTTTTTTTTCCTGGAACTTGGAGATCTGATAGCCTCTGCCTCCCAAAAAGGAGGTGCTGTTTTAACAAAATCTCAATTGTTCAATTTTACCAATAAAGACTCGGGAGCCAGATGCTGGGGTGAAAGCCTGCTAGCTCAGAGAGGCAGAGGAATCACCCAGCTGCCCTTCCTTCTCCGCTGATGTCCCAGAAGCCCCTTTTCCCTACACCGTCTCAAACTCAATGTCCCTCCCTTCCACCTCCTGTGCATCTCTCCGTCCTCCTGACTCTCCCTTACTATGTTTTGTTTTTTGTTTTAATAATTCTGTGAAACAAACAACAGAATTGATGTTAAATCTTTCCTCCATAGGGGAGAAAAATAGAGAACAGTCAAACTGTGGAGCACACCTGTAATTCCACTGTGGCTAGAAAACTGAGTCTCCCTGTGCTACAGCAAGACTCTGCCTCAAAACTCAAGTGATCATGCCAGGGGAAGGGAGATAAATACAGAACAATTACCCATGGATTTATAATGCAATTGAGGAAAAAGTGATACCCTTGTCTATTTTATTGAGATAAAATACAAATTAAAATTTACTCTGTTAAGTCTGAACAATCTCTCAACAAAGCTTTTATGTTATTTTGATCAATTGTATACAACCAATAGTTACAATGTCTCAAGGCAAAAATAAAACTCCTAATACAATATATGAGACATTAAGAGTATATATATGTAGTGATATATACTGTCTCCAAAAAAGCAGTATTCTAAAACTTCCATCTATTAAAAGCTTTTTTTTTGTTTGTTTGTTTGTTTTTTTTTTTTTGAGACAGGGTCTGTCTGTGTAGCTTTGGTGCCTTTCCTGGAACTCACTCACTCTGTAGCCCAGGCTGGCCTTGAACTCACAGAGATCCACTTGGCTCTGCCTCCCGAGTGCTGGGATTAAAGGTGTGCACCACCACCGCTTTTTACTATCTGTTATCATTTAAAATTTTCTGTATGCTTAGATTCTACCTGATTATTTTAAAAGTAACATAACTCCATTTTAAAAATCCATCACAGGGTGAAAGTTTTTCACTTGCAACTATTAACTTACAAAACAATTTATATGACACCTTAAAACTGTCAAGACAGTTTAATAAGTACTGCAAGACAGCACACAGATCATATTCATATTCATAGGGTCACGTAAGTTACAAACATGATAAGGACCGCAGCCCCTCAGCGGGGCATGGTGGTGCACATCTACCACTCCAGCAATCGGGAGACAAAGGCAGGAGGATTGCTGTGAGTTTGAGGCCAACCTGGTCTGTGCAGCAAGGTCCAGGCTAGTCAAGGCTGATGAGCAAGACCCTGTCCTGAGGAGGGCTGGAGGGGGAAGAAGACAACAGCACAGGCCAGGGACTTCTCAGACCATCTAATGCGTACTCCAAACACCCAGGATCCTCAGCCTTGATACTCACATGGGCCTGAAACTAGCAGTACTGGAATTATCTGAAAGCTAATTAGAAAGGGAGATGACAGAAACAAAAGGAAGAAATGGAGACTGCTGTGCCTCAGCCTGCATTTAGTAAGAACTACACAAGCTGCTTATATCACAACAACTCCAGGCAACCAGCCCACAAAACTGGCAAGTAATCTGTTCAAATAATTCACCTAATGGGAGACTGCTCTCAGGCCAATCTCCACCTACCTCTTTATGGTTAAAAGTATAGGATTTGAGCCAGTGGTGGTGCACGCCTTTAATCCCAGCACTCGGGAGGCAGAGCCAGGTGGATCTTTGTGAGTTCGAGGCCAGCCTGGGCTACCAAGCGAGTTCCAGGAAAGGCACAAAGCTACACAGAGAAACCCTGTCTTGAAAAACTAAAAAAAAAAGTAAGTATAGGATTTGAGATCAGACAGAACTGATTTGCTTCCTTATATCATTACTTAAGAGTTTAATTTCTTTGCAATTTCAGTGTCCTCACATGAAAAATGCCAGTGCACACATTTACTGAGGACTAACTTACAGGGAAATATAAAATCAAATGAATTTTTCTTTTTAAATGGAGCTAAATCCAGGAGCCAAGAAAAGCATCAAGAGCAGTAGGAAAAGTGCTGGTGTAAGTGTTTAAAGTCTGACACATGCAGCACACAGA